GGTTGAACCCATCCTGGATAATTTATCAATAAAGCAAGACCCTATCTCAAAAATAAAAACTAAAAAAAAGGCTGGGAATGTAGCTTAGTGCAAAGGCCCTGGTTTGATCATCCAGCACTACAGAGGAAGAGGAAGAGGAAGAGGAGCAAGAAGAGGAGGAAGGAGAATGCCCTAAATTATCACATCAGGCCGTTTCCCTTACAGTTGACTGTATCTGAGCCACACTAAAATGCCTGAGCACTCTTTTGTGGTGTCCAGAACGAATCATCCTGTTTCAGCCCTAAACCCAGCTCCAAGATTAGGGCTTCATCAGGTGCTCACCTTGGCTAAGGAAGAAGCAGAACCAGATGATCATCCAGGACAGCAGGAAACCACAGGCAGGAACAGCACAAAAGCATAGCATATGTGACATCACTCACCAGAGGCACTAAAGGGTACCTCATGGTGTGTGTGTGGCTGCAGGGGGCCACCTTGGGCTAAGCTGGAGAGCTGTCCCCGGGTCTAGCAGGCTGGGGCAGCTCTGCCCTCAGTCTAATTGTGATACAACAAGGACATCAGAGAATGGAAAGAAACCAGGGGAGTTGGTGTGCAAGTGTGTGGGAGTGGGGACAGTGGCTGGGAATAAAGAGCCAGGCCTCAGCTGTCATGGGGTTCCTGTGACGCCTCTCATTCTCTTTGTTGTAAGACTGAAATGAATAATTATAGAAGTTAGAAAAATAGACAATGGTGCAAAGCTTACTCCTGGGTGGGTGCACACTGGGTTACAAATAGCACCAAGGGTCAGCAGGGTCCTCAGATCCTGTCTTCCAGCAGTACTTGTGCCTCTCCAAACTTGTGGGAGCAGTGGCGACTCCAGCAAACCAAGGAAACTTCATGTCTCTGAGCCAAACATCTGTCACAGCTCCAATCAGGAGTAGCTAACGGGTCCAGCATTGCCAGACTTTGTGACTTTTCCAAGAGAACCAAAAGGTCCGAGTTTTATGTTAAATCTCCCACAATTAAAATTTTGGCTTATACTGTGCTAAATAAAATCTGCCTGCTACACTGGATTAGACAGACTACTGGACAGCCATTTAAGAAGTCTAATGGAGCCAGGCATGGTGCTGCATGCCTGTCATCTCAGCACTTGGGAAGCTGGAGTAGGATCATTGAGTGTAAGGTCTCCCTGGGCCACAAGGTGAGTTCAAGGCCAGCCTTAACTATGTAACAAGATCATCTCAACTATTTCAAAGAAAGAGACATTATGGTAGTTACTGTTGTCTTGTGGTGAAATACTGTGTTGCTTAGATTGTTCTGTTCTGAACTGCTTTGTTATGTCCTCTTTTGTCTTAATCTCTTTAAAAAAAAATAAATAAAAATCCAAACAAATAAACTGTCTAATCTAACACATACAGGAGTTGGCCCTGAATAAATTATTAATCTGGAGCCTTCTGTACTTGTCTATTTTAGGCTTTTTCATTAAGGATTTCCAAAGGCTTTCCCCCTTATCTCATAAGTGGGGTAGGATATTCCCACATTGCAGTCCTATCTTCTCACCTGTAGCTTATTCATCCATTACTGAAGCGGCTAGAAAACCTCCAGCCTGTGGTAGGAAGACGATTGTGATCCTCCTGGGCCCTAGCAGCCCCTAGGCAATAGGGAGAGACTGCGGCCAGGTTGAGAACATGCTGGGCCTGGGGAAGCCCAGTCAGAAGTAGTCACTACATCGTTTTCTTCAAGAGGTTCCTTGCTGCACCTGCCTCAATCACTACCAGTGAGCGGTAGGACTTCAAAGTACCAATTCAACATACCAATGCCTAGCCTTGCCCTCAGCCAGTGAATCTGAACTTTAGATGATAAAGCTTGGATTCAGTATCCCAAATCAATACTGACTTTGATTCAGACTTGATTCTGAGATCACTACATTTTGTGCTTGATGTCAGGCATCAGGGGTCAGCTGCAGGAAGTGGTGATAAACCCAGGGTCACATGGGTTGAGATAGGGGACTCCCCAAGGAGAAGGGCACATGGCCAGTCACAGGAAGCAGGGGAAGAGTTAACTGGTGCCTGTGGACCAAGTTCAGAGAGTTGGAGCAACAGCACGTCCCCAGTGGAGCAGACCTGCCCACACAAAATTTGAATGTGCACTTAAGAACAATTATCTGCCAAGCTGTGCCAGACACAGGGCCCAGAGACCAAAGCTAGAAGCAGGGTTGTCAGGAATGGAGTGATTTGTACAGACTGGGTTGTGAAAGAGTTAGGTTAGAGTAAAACAGGAGAAGTGGCCGGACCCGAATGCATTTTCAGAATATGAAACCTTCCCAGACACCAAAACAGGGCCTCTGTACAGTCAATGTTCCTGGCTACCAGACTCAGCTGGAGGTCCTGTGGTGGACAGGCCGAGCAGAAGTAGGGCACACATTCTAGGGGCAGCTGCCAACTGAGTTTCTGGGCTGTAGAAAGTTTTTATAGGACCACGTATTAAAGAGGCTCTCTGCCTTCCAGTGAAGTTTGGCCTCTTTGTCAAAGACAGGTTGAGCACATCTGGAGTTGTTTCTCCATCTTCTAATCTGTTCCACTGATCTTCAAGTTTGTTTTGTTTTTACCTGCTTTTATCATACTAGCTCTGTAGAATAATTTTGAGTTAGGGATTGTGATACCCCGTCTTCCCTTTGTTTCCCAGAACTGGCTGTTATTCCAGGTCTCTTTTTGTTCCAGATGAATTTTAGGATTGTCTTCTCTAGTTGTTTTCTCTAGTTCTATGAAGTATGCTAATGGCATTTTTGTTGGGATTGTAATCTGTATAGCAATTTTCACAGTATGGCTATTTTTCACTATCTTAGTTCTTCATACTCAAGAGCAAGGGATACCTTTTCATTTTCTGATATCTTCATCGATCTTCTTTTTCAGAATACTGCAGTTTTCCATGTAACTATGTTACTTTGTTAGATTCCTTTGCATCACATTTTTAAAACGCTGTTGTGAAATGTATTTTTTTCCCATTTTTGGTGGGTTATTTGTGTACAGGAATGTTGTTTTTGAGTGTTGACTTTGTATGTCCAGCCATGCTGCTGAATTTGGTTATTAAATCTAGAAGATTTTTGGTGGAGTGTTTGGATCTTCTATGTAGATTTTCATGTCACGTACAAATAATGATTGTTTAACTTCTGACTTTCCTATCATTATTCATTTTATTTCTTTCTTATGTCTAATTGCTCTAGCCAATGTTTCCAGAACTATATTAATTAGGAGTGGTGACAGTGGACATTCTTGCCATGTTCCTGATTTTAGAGTGAAAGCTTTCAGTTTTTGACTATTTAGTATGATCATGGCTGTTGGCTTGTCACAGATCATTTTTATCAGACTGAGATAAAGATCATCTATTCCAATTTTTTGTAGAGTTTTATCATGAATGGAACCATGTCTATAACCATGTACTAAACTGAAGTCAAGATGGATCAAAGATCTGAATATTAAAACAGAAATTCTAAATCTGATGGAAGACAGAATTGGTAGAACTCTGAAAGACATAGTAGAGGCAAAGACTTCATGAACAAAACCCCAATCACGTAGGAACCATCACAAAGAATCAACGATTGGGATCTCATCTTTTTAAAAAAAGCTTTTGCACAACAAGAAAAACCACTAACAGAGTGAAGAGACAACCCATGATGTGAGAAAAACTGTTTGCCAGCCGCTTCTCAGACATATGAGAACATATAAAGAAAAAAACTAGATGTCCCAAATTTAAAGACTCAATCCAAAACTGAGCATCTGAAATAGATAGTTCTAAAAAAAGTACAAACAACAAACAAATATATGAAAAAATTTTCAACATTTCTGGTCATTCAAAAGTAAAAATTAAAGCAATGCTTAGATTTCAACTCGCTTCAGAAAGAATGTGTATTTCAAGAAAACAACTAATAACACATGCTGGCAGGGCTGTGAGGGAAAAGGAACCTTTCTCCACTGTTGGTGGGAGGATAGACTGGTGTAAACAATGTAGAAATCAGTGTGGAGATTCCTCAAAGAACTAGGATTAGCAGTCCATTTGACCCAGCTATCCTCCTTCTGGGTTCCTTCCGAGAAGAATTAAAAGTATCCTACCACAGCAATATATGCATGTTCATGTGTATAGCAGCAGTTTATAAAAGCTAAATCATGGAAGCAACTCAGATGCCCATCAATCAATGAATGGATAAAAAAGATATTTTTTAATATAATGGAGTATTATTCAGCTATAAAGAAAGATAAAATGAGACAGTTATAGCTAAATGGATAGAACAAGAGACCACAAACAACAGTGAAATAAATCAGACACACGTGTAAATATCACATTAATTCTCTGGTATGAAAAACTGAAAACATAAGTAAAAACATAAATGTACAATACATACTGTGAAATAGAAACTGTTCAAAAGGAAAAGGGAAATAGAGGTGCAGGGAAAGGAACGAAGAGAAAGAAAAAACAAGAAAAGTAGAATAAAATGAAAACTGAGCTTTGCAAATAGGGTAGCAAAGGGGGTTTGAAAAGATAGGATGGGAATGGGAAAATAAAACAAGATGTATTATGTACAAATTCCCTATATTGAATGTGGTAATTATGTACACCTAAATTGTATCAATAAATTTAAAATTTAAAAACAAAAAGGAGTTTTAGGGTCAACATATTTGTAGCTGGCAGCATCTATGCTGGGCTGGAGGGATGACTCAGAAGAGGCACACACAGTGCACCACGCATGACCTGGTCCCAGGGAGCCCTCTGCAGAACACTGCACAGAGGCAGTGGGGGAAGGGGGTGCTCTTCAATGCATCTCCCTACTTTCTGAACTTCCCAGTCCTGCTGGCAGAAAATCCCAAGGCTCAGAGTCATTTACCATTCAGCAATCCCCAGCCACAGGGTAAAAATTCATAGATCTAAATTATGAAGGGGAGTCAAAGCTAAGCCTATCCCCCCAGAAAAAGAGCACTCATGCAGAAGTCAGATTCTTTAGCCTCGAACCAAAATCACACACAGTGCTATTAGATAAGAATCTCCTTAAAATTTACTTGACTAAATGTATTACATTCAATATTCCATGGATTTCTTCTGGACAAGGTATTGGGATAAATACAAACAGACCTCTGACCTTCTTTCCTAGCTGACGAAGATCAAACACAGGAGCCGCGGGGACACAGGTACACCTTCATATTTACATCTCACCTTTACTTTACAGATCAGTGCCAGAAATATTTACAGAAAATACATTAAGAAAAAGATCATTTGTTGGCAACATCGAAATTCATACAAATTGTATATATAGTTTCAAGCAAATAACGATACTGGTTAGATTTAGCCACAACTGCCAAGCCCTTCAGAGGAGAAAGATGTCTTGGTTACTGCAGGAGATGAGGACTCTGGAAACTTGGTCTGTTTCAGCAAATATTTATTGGGCGCCTACCATATGCAAGGCACTGTGGAATCCCAAATTATACCATTTCCCTCATCATTAAAAAAAAAAGTGTCTTAAGAACAAGGGCTGATATTCTGCGAAAAGCACAATCTGATACATGGCTTTGCTAGCTAGTGAGACCACAGTCTGACTCTACGCTGTCTTGAGGACCCCAGGAAAACAGGCTGTCAGGGAACCCCAAAACAGATGATGCCAAAGACTGCTCCGTTAAGTGCAATGGTAATTTCAGTATAACAGCACCTAAACAGATCATAGATGCTGAATGGAGAACCACTGCCAGTAGGTGTCAAGTGGCCCCTCCCAAGCTTCACCTTCTTTCTGTCTCTGTATAGGGCTCTCACTCTGGAGTGAAGCTTCCATTGTACCTCTCCAGAAACCGGTCTGCAGAGCTGGACAAATGCTTCCCCAGCACATATAGAAACTGTTCATGTACATCTCAAAGCACAACGTGTGGGTAACTGGCCCTTCGGGCCAAAGCTGGAGACATTCTGTATTTATATACAAGTCCAGAGAAGCATGGGCTAGAGCAAAACCGACAACCTAAAGTGGAAGAAAACGAGTGCCCGTCTCTGTGTGCAAACACACATTTATGTGTACACATGGCTGAGAAGTGGAAGCCCTTACCATACACTCACTCTTTTCAAAAGGCCAAAGGACAGAAGAAGGTCTTAGGAGGGTGCCCTGGCAGAGGTGACTGAAAATGCAAAGGTTAAGGTAGAGGCCCTTCCTTCTGTCCTCAGTGCTCCCAATTACAGAGGAGGAAAGACTTCCCTCCCTGAAGTTGCACAAGGGAATAGAAGGGTGACTCTTGGGAATAGGAGCCTGTCTCTTGGGTTTTGCTTTCCTTTTCCAGAATGCCAACCTACCAACCCCTGGCAGAGCCAGCACATGAGCAGCTGAACTGCCTGAGCCACAGACCAGAATGGTCCTACCCTTTACCCAAAGGTTCTACACATGTGCTGGCAAATTTATCAAGTGCACTACTACAAGATTATTAAGTACTAAGTATGTTTCTCTGGCATTATCTATGCAAAGTGACTTTTAACTCAGGCAGTTAGGTGAATACAGTGACCCACACTAGTGAAGGTGCAAGGGTTCTTACCACATTCCCTTTTTGGGCAGATGCAACTCAAAGCAGAAGGAACCAGCATCTGTCAAGGTGTACAGATCCATTTCTGTTGGCTCTCTACACACTGGGAGTTTCATGCCTTCAGGGGCTGTAGATCTCTCCTTTCCTGGGGGACCACCAAGGAAAGAGAGACCACCATCTCTCCTATACTGCACACCACATTCAACATGGCTGTTTGCTTACCCACTGGAATTACAAAACAAATTACAACTAACTTAAGAATCAGCAAGCCCACCCCAACACAAACACACATACACCCCAAACATTTTTTCTGATATTCAAACTATGTCAAGAATAACATTTATCTGAGGAAGTACACTGACATTAGCTATTTTTAACCTGTGGAATATTGTGAATGGCCTTGTTTACTCCAACTAGAACACTGGCCCATTTTCCCCCTGAAATGTCAATCTGGAAGTTCTCTGGAAGTTGTTAAACCTCATCTTATTCTTGATCAGCTGCTAAAACATTGTTAGGGTACAATTCACTGATCTTTACAATATACCACACCTCCCATGCTACCATCTGGAAATAACATTTTCTTACCTACCTAAAAAAGAAACCAACTGGGTGTGGTGGTACACACCTGTAATCCCAGCACTTGGGAGGCTAAGGCAGGAGGATCACTGTAAATTCAAGGACAGCCTGGGCTATACAGAGTTCAAGGCCAGCCTGAACTACGTAGCAAGACCCTATCTTAAAAAAAAAAAAAAAATTTTAATTTAAAGAGAGCAAAGAGGAAAGGAAAAAAAAAAAATAAAACCAATGATTGAAGAATATTATACCCTGAATTGATAATGACACAGGAGGAAGAGAGGACAAAGAAGGATGCAGAGGTTATTTTTACCTGAGCTTAAAACAAACATGAAGAAAAGGGTGTGGCCAACTCTAGACCAAGAGTTGCTATACCCACATTTCTTGCTCAGAAATGGCACAATGCATACTTGTGGAATAGTTATTTGCACAAGGAATTAGATTCCACACTATTCCCAACCTTCTAAGGAAACTATCAAAATACCAAATCAAACAGACCAATGTAGCCCTGTCTACAGAACCTACTGACATCAGTACAAGTAGGAAATATCCCTCATACAACTCTGATCACTCCTCTTTGGACTTCAAATATTACTTTCTTAATACAAAATAATCTTACTGAAAAAAAGAACACACAAAAATAGGAGAAATAAGTGGTACATATGGTAGCGCTATAACAAGAATCCTTGCGAGGATTGCCTGGGTCTGGCCACCTCAAGTTTTATCCCTGGCAGAAAAGTAGCAGCGAGGTAACAGAAGTATTTCTAAAAACCTGGCAGGGATTTGTTGTGCCTTCAACTAGCAAAGTCCAGAAAGCAGGACAACAGTCATTTTTAACAGCAGCCACCCAAGAAGGTGGTCAGTAATGTCTGTCAATTATAATGCACTCCAGGGGCTCTCTGGGAGAGATCTTCATCTGTGGCATTGGCAGGCTACTTCTTGAACCCTAAATAGAATCTTTCATCAACCACTGCATTTTGCTGATTGGTCCTGAAATAAGAGATAATGGGTGCAACCAAATCTTTTTTGATCCCTGCTGTGATTGTACATCAGAATGGAGGCATCACTGCTGTCTTATAGTTTTTAATCTTATAAACTTCATTAGTAACTCCATTACACAATAAGACTGCCTCTGTTCTACATTTGTTTGCTCAAAAACAGGCCTTCACAGACAGATCTGTGCAGTGATAGAATGACAACTTTCTTAATATGGAAAGAAAATATGAAACATTTTAATGTCAAACTACGTATCTGAGCAAAAAAATTCTGTTTTTTGATTTCTCAGTTTGACAGTTGGATGACAAAAGGTCCTTCAAGTAAGCAGAAGGCTGAGACTTCTTTCACTTTCCTCCATGCTACCAACACAAGCACTGAAGATGTCCTGGAAAAATCCAGGACATTATAATTTTGAATACAACCTCCTAAAAAGTGAGGTATAGAACTATCTTTAACTTCTAATTTTCAAATTTGTTGATACTATCAATGCACGTGTTTGATGTGATGCATGACAGCCTTTCTCCTCAAAAGGCTTATATTTAACTAAAATTGGCATTTTAAAAGAAAATTGATGGCTAAAATGTTTCTCGTTATTCCCAGCAGGAGTATGATTGCATCTGGGAGCCCAACTGACTAGAAAGCCTTCAGTCTTCTTTCTACCCAGTGGGTTTACAATGTGTTTTCCTATTCTGGTGATGAAACAATAAGCTCTTGCGGAGTGATTTTTTTATTTTTACAGTGATCACTTGTCAAAGTGTCTTGCTTTGATGTTACAGTCCACACACTGGAGTTCAACTATTCTAGACAGTGGTCTAGGAACTGCAGCTCTTGAGTCCAACCTCCTGGAAAAGTGAAGTATAAAACTCTGGCTCCAACTGCTTGTTCCGGTACTTGTTGACAATGTCAGTGATTTTCTGTTTCCGGCGGACATGTGGTGGACTATAGGAATCGCTCTCCAGTCTCTTTCTTCTACAAATATTTATTACAGTCTGCCTCACCAGAAAGCCTTGAAAACAGAAAGTTAAAATAATTGTCAATAATCCCAGAATTAATGAACTCTCAGAGTTAGATGAGCTGTTTTTCATAGTCAAACTATTGTATTCCATTTGTGTAACTCTCCTTCCCCAGAGAGAAAGAAAGAGAGAAAAAAAAAAATGTCAGAAGAAAGACACAATGACAAAAACAGAACCAAAATGTGGCCTGACAATTCATTTCTTGCCCTCAGTATAACTATCTTGCTAGTAGCTTGTGAAGTTTCATTTGTACAATATTTAAAAACAGTTTAAAACTCACCAAAAACATGTTCCTCTTTTAATAAGAGTCACAGCATTTGCTACATGTAAACTATTGAAAACTGTTTTTCTTTTCTGGGGGGTTTATACAGATGTTAAAGAAGGAGAGAAACCTTAGCTCTTTTGCACACACATGAAGACCTTACCAAGTGCTCGCCGGCTGACTATCATCCCATCCACAAGAGGAATGACCATATTAAATTTTCCAGTGGCTCCTTGAATTTTTATCCGGAATAATCCAGTGTGCAAAGGGTGGATGAAGATGACTGGAACTTCTTTTTCAAGTGTTGTAGATCTTAACAAAAGAAGTCTTTTTAAGCCAGACACACAAGAGTTAAAGACCCCCCACATGCAGTATAAGAATACCAATGGGACCTGTGGACAGTAGCGGTTTAAGAAGCAGTGGGTCAGTCTGTTCAAAGTCCTCTTTTTGGGAGCTTGTGTTGCTGCTCTCTGCAATACTAAGTGCTCATGACTGGAGTCAGCCTTTTTAAGTTAACAAAAAAGAGGCTAAAAATCAATTTCTGGAAAACAGTGAGGAGGTAATGTAGAAAGGCTAACCAATCTACCGTGAGAGCTGACAATCTAGCAGCCAGCTTTGTTACTTGCATTTAGTCCCCTTTCTGTAGGGAACAGAAGTGTGGCCATTAGAGCACAGGAAATTCTACACAGGTGAAGCTGTACCTGCATCAGAGGGGAATACAGTGTAAATCTAGCCTGCAAACCCTGGACATTGTGTTTTCTGAAGTCAGGACAAGTGGTTGGGAGGTCTTTTGTCTGGACTGGCTGTACATGTCCTCCTTAGCTGAGATCATAAATGACCACACCCTAGTCATGGTCCTCTAAGGTCAAAGTCCTTGCAGTCTCTGACCAAGCAAGAGGGGCTAAGGTCAGCAGATGCATCTCTGAAAGAATGAGTTACACATCTACCTCAGACATGGTCAGCCCATTAAGAGTTATTTATGTTACTCACTGCTACTGACACTTGGGGGCTTTTTATTTTTTCTCTCCCCAACATGAGTCTTTTTTCATACATGTCAAGTGAGTGTTAGCAAAAACATGCTGAGTTAATCTTTTAAAAGTTTTTTTCTTTTTTTTAAACATTTGGGGTTTTTTTGTTCCTAACTAACTAACACAGTACATTTGCTATGAAGAATTGTGTTTGTTACTAAAGAACAAATTATTAATATTAGAAGAGTATTTCAACTGTGACTAATGCTTGAAATTATTTTTTCATAACCTTTCAAAAGTATGGTGTCTGTAGTTACTATAAATCAAGCTTTGGAAGTCCAATAAATAAACAGAAAGATAAAATAAAGACTTCCTTTTAGGGGCAAAAAAGGGCAATCTTCTGGCCACAAGAGAATAGTGCAGTATATTAAGTGTTGCTATAGCTCAGTCTTGTTTTCTGCAAAGGCAGTATGAAGCAAACCAAGTTTTCTAGGTAGTCATTTCTTAAATATCCAGCCTTACAAAATTAGTAGCATCATTTTATTTAAAGATCCTATGTATTAATTTTTTTAAAGAGTTCTTTAATTTAAAACTGCATTTGAAATAGCTGATGTAATTATAATACCAAGTGTGATTTTTTTGAAGAACTGCATGCTAACATCATTTCACTAAAGCTGGATTGGTACCTATGTCCACAAGTTTGTGAACCATGAAGGAAATGAGACTAGAAGTTTCACTAACAAGTCAGATAATAATAACTACAGTGATTGGTGCTGAGATTGCTGTAAACAATTCATAATTTAGATAGCAGTATATATATTGTAAACTTGTAGCTGAGCTACGTAAGTATAAGTTTTAGAACTTCAGGGCATTTGTTTATTTATTTTGTTTTTTTGAGACAGGGTTTCACTCTGTAGTTTAGACTGGCCTTGAACTCACTATGTTGCCTAGGCAGGCCTCAAACTTGCAGTAATCCCTCTGCCTCAGCCTTTTGAGTATCACACCTGAATGAATGTAGTTAATTTTTAATGAAAAACCTGAAATCTAAACTGCAGGTACCACCCAACAATTATATCGATAAATAACTTTAACACATTTTAGTTTCTTAGAATCGTATGTTATACAAATTGAAGAAGTGCTTTAAAAAGCATTAGTTTCTCATGTTTGCTTAGTATTGGACTGAATTTCTAGTTCTATCCTAGACATTTTACACAGTAGCCAAGTCCATTCTCATGTCCATTTCCTAATGTGCTCTGTACCAATGGTGAGTGCTACCTGGTTTCCTTACCAACTGCCACAAAAGGTCGTTTTACATCCCCATGTCTGCTGTCAACTCTACCAAAAAGAAAAGCTACGGTTTTACGCAACAATAAGCATTTGACTGCTAATATATGTTTTTGCTTACTGTGCCTTGCTATGACTGCTTGCTTGTGCTAATAAAGGATGTTCAGTATTCTCCTTGTTAAAAAAAATAGTACTGCAGTAAACCTGTTCCCAAGACAAATTCTAAAATTTGATAGTCTACCAATAAAACATAAATTTATAGCCAAATTGTATTATAGATTTGATCTGAAAAGACTGTAACAGCATAAGGAGTTTAAGACAGTTCTCTTCCCAACTAGCCCCAGAAAAATCTATCTCATGACAGTTTATTCCATAGTCCTTTCTGCAAGTCAATGTCATTAAGAAAAAAAGGACTGTTCCAGATTAAAAGATATTAAAGAGTTAAATCCGATGCAGGTCCAGGAAGTGAATACTGGTTTGAACAAAACTACTGTAAAAGAATTTTAAGAAAAATGGAAAAATGTCAATATAAAGGCTACTGTATGATATTAACAAATTACTAACTTTATCATTCTAATATTAGCATTAGCTATCTAAAGTATTCTTGGTTTTCACAATGTATACTCATGTAGTTAGACTGTATGGAACTTGTAATATTTTGGGGGGTCTTTTTCAGACAGGGTTTCATTACACAGTTCAAGCTGCCCTTGAATTCACTTTGCAACCCAGGCTGGCCTCAAACTTCTGCCTCAGCCTGCTGAGTGCTAGAATTATAGGCATGCACCACCATGCTTGGGCTTGTAATTTGTTTCAAAATACTTAGCATACAAAACGTGGACATTTTCAGGATGACTTGCCTTCTAGAAAATTTTTAAAATATTAATAATGCTAAGATAAGCAATCTCTATTCACTTCATTAGAATAATCATCTAACAAGATTAAATTAATTTTACACATAATTAGAAACAGATTATGTAAAAGAGAAGGCACAAAGTAAAAATATCAAGTCAAAGGGCAGTTCTGTGATGAAGAGAAGTGAGGTTAGCATTTGAGGACAAACACTGGGTTTCAACTGCTTCCTCTTGTTTACTGATGCACTGGATGCATTAGGCTGAGGAATAAATTCTATGGGCCTATCTTAGCCCATTTGTAAATCAAGGATGATAATTGTATCTGTTGGAATTATAAACAGAAAACCAGCAGGCAAAAAGCCCTTCAAACTATAAAGCATAACCAAATACATAGTCACTATTCTCAGAATCAGATTATTCTCTTTTTATTCTTTTTGTGTATGGGCAGGTAAAGTAGAAAGCTTAACGTAAGAACAGTAATAATTTTACTTAGGAATATTTTCTTGCTGAGCATGCCTGTAATCCCAACACTTAGGAGGCTGAGGCAAGAAGACTGCTGTGATTTTGAGGCCAGCCTGAAATAACAGCAAGAGCCTGTCTCAAAAAACAAAATAAATAAATAAACAAAATTAATTTTTATTCCAATAATAAAATTTTAACAAGAAATATTTTCTAATTAAGATGGGTGTGGTAGCATATCTGTAACACTAGTAGGTGGGAGGTTGAGGCAAGAAGATCACTATTAGTTCAAAGCTAGCCTGGGCTACATAGTGAATTGGAGGCCAGCCTGAAATATACAGTAGGACCCTGTATCAAAGCACAAAAAAATTTAAGAAAGATAGAAATATTTCTCTATTAAATAGCTTGTTGGATCAGTAAACTTTTTTTTTTAAATCGGTACCGGGGATCGAACTCATGACTAACTGCTTGCAAGGCAGGTGCTTATGCTGCTGAGCTAAATCCCCAGCCTCTGGATTAGTATACTTAAGACCACCATTTGTCCAGGATTTTCCCTCAAATTAACTCTATCATTTCTACTTAATATTGGTAAAACAATCTTCATTAATTGCCTCAACTTCTCAATTTTTCCTTTTGCTACAGATAAATATAAAATAGCAATTAATGATATCATTTAAAAACCCTTGCTAGTGTGCTGAATATCATCAGGAAAATGAAATCAAAACCACAATGAGATATCACTTCATACTTAGTAGGATGATCATTTTCAAAAAAGCAAAGGTACGTATTAGTGAGTACAGAAAGAAGAGGAAACTCTTGTACAGTGTTGGTGGGAATGTAAAACAGTAAAATCACTATGAAAATCAGCAAGGTTGATTAAAAGTACAACTATCATATGGTCTAGTATTCCTACTTATGGATATACATTCAAAGGAATGGAAGTCAGGATCTCAAAAAGATCTAGTACTATCCTAAGATATGGAATCCTAACATGGTATCTCCACTCCCATGTTCAGCTCAGCATTGCTCATAAGCCAAGCCATGGATGCAACCTACATGTCAATCAATAAATAAATGGACAAAGAAAATGGGGTCTACACATACAACAGAATATTATCACATCAATTACAATAATGTGGATCTGGAGATGTTATGCTAAATGAAATAAACGGGACAAAAAACACAAATTCTACATAACATTTATATCATGAATATAAAATAATTAAATTCTTAGAAGTGGAGAGTAGAATGTACCTGGAGAAAAAGGAAAATGGGAAGGTATTAATGAAAGGGTACAAAGTTTCATTTATGCAAATGAGAAAGTCCTAAAGATCAACTGTAAAGCACAGTTGCTAACACTAATAATAAAATCTTGCTATGAGGGTAGATTTTATATTAAATGTTATCAAAATAATTATAATGCAAGTGAGAGGACTCTTTTGGAGGTGATAGGTATGTCTGCAGCATAGATTGTGGTGTTTTCATGTACATTTTTCTTCAAGCTCAACAAGTTAAATACATTAAATTTGTACAACTTTTTGCCAATCGTGCATCAATAAAGTGGTTTTAAAACTTTTTTAACAATTTGATAACCATCTGCATTTATGTACGAACTTTTCTGATTATTTTTCCCTCAATCTTTTTGATACATGATAATTCTACTTTACTAAGTTACAGTCCACATAACAAAACAGATATGCTGAAGAACTTACGGCAAATTAAAAGAACAAACCTCAGAGAAGTGCTGCTATTTGCTGTCGTTTCCACACCAGTACTAATCTCTGTCATTAGATCTGAAAGGGGGAAGTTTTCTGGAAGAAAACAATAGCATTACAAGTAAGATTTGGTTCATTGTTACCAAGTAACTGATAGAAAATTTAAGTTTCTAATCTCTTTACACTGGTATAGGACAAATACTTAGATTGTGCTATCCTATAATATGTAATCCTAATGATTCTCCAAAATTAAAAAAAGAAAAATCTCCCTCAAGATATCTTAGCTAAGTTCACCTAAAGCAGAACATTTTAGGAAACATGATATGAGCAAACGATCACACTTTGCCACTAACTCTAAGCAGGATGGGATCCTAGGTTAAGTATGCATTTCTAATGTTCTCTTGCTGCTTAACAGAAAAATCATGAGAATCTTATCCATACTAGAGCTCATAAGGAACAGAGTAACCTTTACATTAAAACTAGAGGGCACAGGGAGAAGGGTGTGTGGCATGTTTTCTTTTACCCAAATCTATAGCTCCTAGGATGACAGGGACAGTGACTGTACTGCCAATGGGAATAGCTAAAAGCTTTGTCTACTAACCTCATTACATCTTTACAATTATGAAGTAAGTGCCATCATTATCTCCATTTAACAGATAAACAACCTGAGGTTTAATACACTACGTGGTAGAGCTCCAATGCAGGGTCCTATTCCTTTCAGATACCTAGTAAGTCACTAGCATCCTATTACGGATAGTCAAAGTCCTTATATGATACCTATATCATCATAGCGTTCCACCCAGACTACAGATACTCTTGTCTCAGGTCCAAGGGGAGGCACAGGACGACCCTGAGGCAGCTTCTTCATTCTGGAACCCGGACTGAGCTACATGCAGAAGAAGAGAAGAAAAGAAGAACTACCTTGATAAAACTACCCAGTCATATATTTATAAAAATGTCCAGTGATATGAGTATCAGGTCATGGAAACTAGGAAAATAATGGAAAACACATCTGTCAAAAAGCTCCTACTTGGCTTCTCTGCTTATGAGTCTTAACCTAGAAAAAGGAAATGAAGAACTCAAATTGTCAAAGGAAATAAAAGGTAAGGAATACTGAACAATTATTTTCACTAACAGTAATAAAATTTGTATGTAATGTTTTATGAAAATATAAGGGGATCTTAGTCTATCTCTAGTAAGTCTAGAAAGCAGTATGCTTTCCCCATCAAAGAAAAATGACTAGTTTGTCTACAGCTCCTAACCTCTAAAATGCTCCACTAACAAGGTACTCCTAGTTCCCAAATGCAATCTGTGCCGAACTTCTTTTGTGGTTAGCAGAAAGAAAAGAGTTCTTGGGCTTTGCTATTAAGTACAGTGTGTTTTGAGCTTCCCTGCCACCCACTTGGTTTCTTTGCAAGACTAACAGGACTATGTGGTTCACCTTCAGCAAACTGCCACTCTGAGCTGTGCCCTTTTCGGGTATGCATACATAAGTTTATGCCATTGTCCTACAGAAAGCTCATGGGCATAGACTGGAGAATACTCTAAGTAATCTGAATTTTAAAATTAAAACTATTTATTAGCACAGAAATACATGTGCTTTTATCAAATGACCACAGTCCATGGCAACCTATCCCAACCCAAGATTCTTTCTTCTACTTTGGCAGTCACAGAAAATGACTATGACCAAGAGATTTCTCCTAAACAAATCATGCAGTATACTACCTATTCCCCTCCAAACTGCATTCTGTGAAACCGTCTAAAACTTCTGATTTTTAAATCATTGTACTTCAGTCTTCTATAATTTGCTGTTTCCTTTTTCATATACAGCTGTAAAGATGGAGACCTCTCCAGTATTCTCTTTAAAGTATGTACTGTGTCAAAAATAATTTTCACTGTGGAAGGAACCAAACTCAAATCCTGTACAATGAAGGAATGACTTCAGTCATCTTTACATTTTTTTGTTTTATTTTAAATCACTCTTTTTATGATTTGATTCCGTACCTGCGTTACCATTTACTCGGTCACTTTTCAGTAAAGATTAAGAGAAAAAATGACAACAAAATACTACTAATGAAACAACATTTGCAGCATTTACAGGAAATAAATGCATGAAAAAATGTTCAACATCAGAGGTCACTCAAGAGATGCAAATTAAAACAGCACTGAGATTCCACCTGAACCCAGAAAGAATCGCTAGTATCAAGAAATCAACCAGTAACAAATGCTGGAGAGACTGTGGAAAAAGGAAATCTTCTCCCCTGTTGGTGAGAATGCAGACTGGTGCAAGCACAATGGAAATCAATGTGGAGAGTCCTCAAAAAATAGGACTGGAGGTCCCATTCAACCCAGCAATTCTCCTGGGTATCTTCCCTAAAGCATCATACCACAGTAATAAATGTGCACCGATGTTTATAGCACCACTATTTATAATAGCCAGATCTTGGAAACAGTGGATGGATCCATTCACTGAGGAATGGATAAAAAAGATGCCATATTTTTATGCAACAGAGTACTACTCAGCCATAAAAAATGATAGGTAAATGGATGTACCTTAATAACATACTCATTAGTGAAATAAATAAGATACACATGGACAAACATCGAATTATTTCATTAGTGTGACAAGCTGAAAGAAAAAAATTCCTATGTGTAAGTACATGCACATAAAAAAATAGTTTAGATAATTATTCTACTGATTTCTCTGAGTTCACAAAAAGAAAGATTTGTACTGGTACTATTCAGACAATTGAATGCAGATGTGTTGTGCTCTGGGTGAATGATTTGGGGATAACAATGCACAATGTATGTATCATTGTTACCCCCTAAATGATGAGCTTTGAAATTTTACTATAGTTTTTTCTTTTTTGTCTTTATCTTTGAATAAAATTAAATTGAGGAAAAAAAAAAAAAAAAGGAATAACATGTGCCAATAGCCAGGAAAAAGAATAAAAGCCAAAAGCTCTCCTCTTGTAGCAAGGAGTATGTGGCATAGTCAGTATATTTAATCATATGAAGTAGTGTTTCCCCTATAGTTCAAAGACCTCCCCAATCTCACCCCAGTGCTTCTTCAAAACTAGCTGCATGTGATGGCTTACTCCTGTAATCCCAGCACTTGGGAGGCTGGGGAAGGAGAATCATTTGCAACTTCAAGACCAGCCTGGGCTACAAAGTGAGCTCGAGGCCAGCCTGAACTGCATAGCAAAACCCTGTCTCAAAAAGACAAAAAAATAGATGTAATTAACACCAAATTGTATGTAATGTATTTTCCTATACACACCTAAGGATAAAGTGTTATGTATAAATTAGAACACTAAGATATTAACAATAGTAATAATAGAACAAATGGAATAACAGAACAATTAGAACAATATACTGTATTGTAATAAGGTTATGTGGTCTATCTTTCAATATCTTACTATATTATACAGCTTCTTCTTCCTGTGATAATGTGATATGAGCTGAAGTGAAACATGACCTAGCATTAGACTACTTCATAATAGTTACCTGAACACAAGCATTCTGATACTAGAGAATCATGGCACTACCACATGACTACCATGTGACTAACAAGCAAGTAGCACATACTGTGTACGAAAGGATGATTCCAGCACAGGCAGGATGAAGCAGGACTGCAGGGGATCTCACCAACTATATAGGATGCCACATACTTCAACACTTAGGAATTGTCTACTTTTGGAATTTTCCACTTAATGTTTTTGGACTAGGGTTGAACATGGGTAAGGAAAAGGCAGAAAAGGAAATAACAAGGAGAGACTTTTGTAAAGATTTACTCTCCAAAATGTTGCCATTTTTATAATGTCACAATTGTTTAAATTGAATATCACATGACTAAAGATAGGGAAATATAGCTAATGGTAAACCTTCAGTGGATACTGAAGGGAATAAAATATTTAAAAAGCAACTGGTAGTCATTTTGAATTGGAGGAAGGCATAGAAGTTGCACAGCACCAGATTTATGAATGATTTCAACTTCTGCCCAATGCAAACAGAGCCTAGAAAAAGAATACATTGACTTTCTGCTTCCCTGCAATCTTAACACATTGCTCTGCTCCCATACATTTCTATCCCTATGAAATGAAACTTGGAAGTGATCAGCAGAAGCCCTAAGTCCCAGCTACTCAGAAGGTTGACAGAAGGCTGACTTAAATCCAGAGTTCAAGATCAGCCTAACATCTCAGAAAGAAAGAAAAGAGGTGGAGGAAGTAAGCAGTTTTGGGAAAAGACAGAAATATAACAAATAGTAGTAGTGAGGTAATGTCAAAAAAAAAAGCAATTTGTAAGAGAACAAGCATGGTACCAAATAGTAAAGGAAGAAAACAAAGTCTTAAACACTTTGTTGCATGCTGGAAAAGAGGAAATTAAGAGAATTGGATTTAACAGACTTAAAGTTACCAACAAATTATTATTCTAATTATTCCCTGATTTAAAGTTAACTTTCCAAATATGATTCTATAATTATCCCCATTATCCCCACTACTAATGTTTAGAGGTTAATTACAACATAACTTACCCTCTGTGAAGAATTAAGATTGTCTGTGTGATTGGGGAAAAGCTCAAGTGTCAGGGATGGTTGTTTCAGAATTCCTGGCATAAGATCCATGTTTGAGTCACTATCTTGGTCTGAGATGTTACTTTCCAATGAATCAGCTATAAGGTAAAGGAAAATAAATCAATTATAATAACTGCTACTTCTTTGGGTTTTTTAAAATTTTTTTTATTTTAAAGAGATTAAGACAAGAGGACATAATAAAGCAGATCAGAACATAACAATGTAAGCAACACATTTTTACCACAAGACAACCCGTAAATAACAGTAACTACCATAATGTCTCTTTCTTTGAAATAGTTGAGCATAACTTCATATACAATAGTATCAAACATAACAAAACAGTATAAAACTATTCCAGAGAATGAAAGTATTACACGCATTCAGAACCAAATAACGGAGAATGAACAATGGCTACTGTATTATCTCATTTTCCATAGAAAATTTGTTTATACTGTCACACACAATAAAATCCAGTAAGATACAGTATGATAGAACCAATAGAAACAGAAGAACAAAAGCATGGTAGGACTTCAGAGTAAGATGATATTAAATCAGCACTGGCTATTATAAGGTCTTTATTTCTTCAAAATAGCTGTTCGTACTATCACAGTAATAAAATCAAACAAACCAAGATAAAACCATTCCAACTAATGAATGTAAACATTATAAGGGTTCAAGGCAATGTAATGGGGAATCATGATTACCATAAACTCTTATGTACTCTTACCATTTCTTACACTAGCGAGACTATACAGTATTTATACAAGTGAGTCTGATTTATTTCACTGATGAGTATGGTCTCAAGTTGTGTTTATTTAAAATAACTCAATGTGATCTTTCTTTATAACTGAGTAGTACTCAACTGTATAAAAATTCCATAACTTTTTTATCCATTCCTCAGTTGATGGACACTTAGGTTGTTGGATCTGGCCGTTACAAATTGTACTGCTATAAAACATAGGGGCAAATATATCACTGTGGTATGATTTTGTCAGTTCTTCTGGGAATATGCCTAGAAGTGGAATAGCTGGGTTGAATGGGACTTCCAATCCCAGCTTTTTGAGGAATCCCCAGACTGACCTCCACAGTGGTTGCACTAGTCTACACTCCCACCATCAGTGCAGGAGAGTTCCTTTTTCCCCACAGCCTCTCCAGCATTTGTCGTTGGTAGTTTTCTTGATTCTGGCCATTCTTTCTGGAGTGAGATGGAATCTCAGTGTTGTTTTAATTTGCATCTCTCTAATGAATAATGATGATAAATATTTTTTCATATATTTATTTGCCGTTTGAATTTCGTTATCTAAGAATGCTACTTCTTTGGTTTTTTTTTTTTTTTTTTTTGTCTTTTTCCTTTTTATCGGTACCGGAGATTGAACTCAGGACTACCTGCTTATAAGGCAGGCACTTATGCCACTGAGCTAAATCCCCAGCCCTTTTTTTTTTTTTTTTTGTCTTTTTCCTTTTTATTGGTACCAGGGATCGAACTCACAACTGCCTGCTTGCAAGGCAGGTGCTTATGCCGCTGAGCTAAACCTCCAGCCCCCATACTTCTTTGGATAAAAAGTTTATTTATGCTAATTTGTCTAAGTCACTGCACTGGTTTTGGAAACTTTTGGGTAAAAGAATCAGGTAACAATATTTTAGGTTTTGATGGCCATATAAATCTCTGGTGCACATTATCTTTGTATTTTATTTCTGATACTTTAAACATGTAAAAGTCATTGTTGGTTGAATGTGATGTATTGCTATAATTCGCTGGTTCCTGCTCTACACAAAAACTGAAGTACCATCTGATTTATCACACAAAGAAGTTAATAAGAACCATCTGTCAATGTCTGAATTATCTTTTGTTATACATCCAGTCATGGAACACTATGTAAAGTTGACACCAGGACACTCAAAGCTATGGACAATATAGTTTCTGAGATGAAGGTATAATCTGGTTGGAGTCAAGCACACAAAGTTAAAAACAAAACAAGACACCCATGGTAGTACAAATACTGCGTCAGCAAACAGGAGAAGATGAGAGGGAGTAGGGCAAAGCACGGATAGCAGAAGGGTCACAACAGGACAGAAACCAAGAGCCAACTGCAGAAAATGTGGTGCAATGAGCAGGCTCTAGCTCTGGGGCAGATTGCTGATCACGGGAACTGCTGCAATCAGGCTGGCAAACCACAGTGCTGAAAGGAAGGCAAAGAGCTGCTACTGACCTAGAGCACAGAAGGGCAAATGGAAAGGCGAGGGTCCAAACACAAAAGTGAGGAAGCTGTTAGGATTGCCAGCCTCAGGATAAGACTGCACAAGCAGAAAATAGTATCTCATCCTACAATGGCGTCAATAAAGAAGGTGTCATTTTTGATCTACTGCCTGGTAGGCATGAAGACATAGGCTTAATGTGCAAAAAGCAAAATTCTAGATAAATAAAAACTGTAAGCTCAGACTAAGTCTGGCTCACTCCTGAGCCCTAGTCCTAGACTGCCATCTTTTCCAGGTGGCTCAAGGTTTTTTACTCAGTGTCAGAACATCAGCCGTTCACCATCCTGAGATCCTTCCAGTTACAGGCTTCTGTAAAGCTCCTCATAAAGGCTCTCACATAGGAAGAAGGAGTCTGGTGGGGAACACTCATAATTTGTGAAAGAAATGAACAAACTGTAAACCAAGGTGTCTACACATTGTTTAAATTAGATAAAAGAAAGGCAAAAATTGGGTTGAAGAGTGACTCTACTATTTAGATTACTGGAGATCAGTCTGTGTCCTTACTTTCCATCAGAAAGGTAAGAGAAGACAGTATCTTCTGCCTCTCTCTATATCGTGTAATGATTATAATGCCTCATTCGGTGAAACAATACCAGAGCCCCTCATTCAGTGCAACAATACCACACAAGCTTGTGAATACAAAAACAGGTCCTGTAGGGCACCATGGCAAAACAAACAAACAAAAAACCTCTTACTCAAGGACTCCACAGGAGAAGGAACCACAAAGGCAATTTCAGTCAGGGCATCAGCGTAATACAGCACCTTCTTCTGTCCATTGAAAACACTAGCCCCAGCAGCTTCGGAGGACGTTACTTCATCTAGGAACAAGAGACACTGCATGATGCTTCCAACAGTAGGGAAAATAGATGTTCCTGTTCTATCAAATTCTAACTGATAAATAAAATGATAATAATAGAAGGTAGGTTTCCAACAAGAATCAATTTGTGTGAAAGAATTAAATGTTTATTAAATGTCTTTATACTAACTTTAAATCATCAAAATCTTAATTCCATACCTTCTGAAACTGTAACAAACTACTTTTGCTTGGCAGGGCCTTAAACTTCCTAGTGTGAGCAGAGGAAGGGAGCAGTCCTTCTGGAGCAGGTAAATCACAAAAAGGAAGACCACCATAGCCCCAAAAAGGCTGGGCAGGGTGTGTGGGGACGGTAGAGGTAATGATTTTCTGTCCCTGCTATTGCCCAGCTCTGTTTCTGCTCCACCTTCCCCATCAGGCAGTGATGTAATATGAAAACAGACAGGCAGGTTGAATGTGCACTCTAAGCTAGCAAGACTGATTTAAAAGAAACAATGGCTGAGAGCCAGGATAGTTCTCAACGGAAAAGCACACAACATCCTCACAATGATACATAAAGGCCAATAACTTGACAAAAGGCTGGACCCAAGACATGAACAAGGAGTTCTCAGAAAAACAGGAAAAGACCCTTGCTCTTAGTCATAATTAAAAATAAAATGTTCCCCTTGACAATATTAGAAAATTCTTAATGGTAGAAAAGATATAGCACACAAATTACGACCACAAGTGAGCAAACTTTTTCTGTAAAAGCTACATAATAAATACTTTGCTTTGTGGAACATCTAGTCTATGCCACCATTACTTAGTTCTGTAGGATGAACATTGCCATAGTACATAAATGATTGTATGGCTGAGTATTAATAACACATTACTTAAAAAACAAAAAATAGGTATGTGCTACAGTTTATAAATCCTGGACAAACATTCTACCTTTGCAGTGGACACTATGGTTCCTACACTAATACCCACTCTACTTGCCCCTATGCTACATCAGGCCTGAAGTGTGAGTGGGACTGATCCTAAATAATAGCTCTTGTGTGTATCTCTCTATCACGGTCTTCTCTGGGATAGTTCTGAGGTATTCTAACCATAGTGCAAACTGAGGAATTGGCGAGAAACAGAATTCTGAAACTCAGCTAATCTCCAGTCTTCAGGCTATTGTGAGGTATATATATCAAGCCTGGTTCAGTAACTATCAAGAGAAGATGTCTAGAAGAATATACAAACTATTAAGTGACCCACCACTGTGAGGACTATCACTAAATAAAGACTTTCCTTTTATATATCTTTGTTTGCTTTTTGAAACAACACTAAAAATTCACAATAAAGGGAGAAAAATCATGCACAACAAAAACAAACAGCCACTGTGAGTTTTACCTTGCTCGGATCCTTCACCATCAGTGCAACTGTTAATTGACCAACTGGTAGAAACATGGCCAGTCCAACCAGGGTGTCGGCCAATATCTACTGACCAGCCAAGGGAGAGCAAAAATTCTAGAAAATGTGGCTGAACATTTCTGGAAGACTCCACATTCTTCAAAATCTGAAATACATACCAATCATTAGCTATCATGAAAGAAACACAAGAACATAATCGAATAAATCTTCTTAAAAATAAGCTTACACATCAAGTGACAGGTTCAAAATAAATTTGGGAGTTTATCGCAGACAGACTTAGACTAGCAAGGCCTTGGGCAAGTTTCTTCACCTGTCTCAGTTTCTTCAGCTTGCAGTAGGGTTAACTGGGATGTGTGTATAGGTTAAATGAGATCATGTTACATAAAGCCCAGAGCTCCCTTCTTATTTTAATCTTTCCTTCTTAGTTAAAAAAAAATTACTGAGCCAGACACACTTATAAAAAATAAACAAAAGACATAATGTCATGCCTTCAAAGAGTTACGAGCCTGGTTAATGAGAACTATTACCCAGGTATGTGATTATTCATTTACAAGTCTTGGCGAATGCTATAAAAGTACAAACTCACTAAGAACATAAAAAGAGGCCATGATTGTTGTTTTGAATTTTTTTTCTTTGAAATAAAACAGGAATTTCTTAGTCCACAGGAATGTAGCATTCCAGAAAAAGTAAAACGACCAGAAAGTCTTTACTAAAAAGTATAGTGCCTTGCTTTCTTCTGGCTTTAGAAGGAGGGTCCCTCATTCTGGTAGAGCGGGTCTCATCTAGGGGTGAGTTTGCCCTCAAAGGAATCTTCTGGCAATGTCTGGAGACATCTTTGGTTATAACTGGTAGAACAATGCTAGCATCTAGTAGTAGAGGCCAAAGCTGCTGCTGAATGTTCCCCAGGACAGCACCCACAACAAAAATTATGTGGCCAAAGATGGCAATAGTGCTGCTGTTGAAACACAAAATTCTCAAGGAAAATTCTTCTCTAAAAAAATGAAAAGGGAGGTATCTATCAGAGATTATCAAACCATCTGGGGACTTTCCTAGAGATAAGATTCCCTTGGTTTCTTCCAAACGTACATCAAAATCAGCAAAACCAAGATGATGACATCATTATTTCTACTCCTACCCCACTCAAGTGACTGTGATGCAGCCAGTTCCCAGGTCATCATCTAATACTAATGTATGTCCAGGACCACACAGAGGCCTGTGAAAGTAAAAATATGTGAAGGTATACAGATTGCTCCTCCGTCTACTGAGCACCACTGCTAGGTTCACCTCTTTAACACAGAACTAAGTCTTCTTAAATACATGCTTGTTTGCTTCATCCATACCCTATCACACCATGTGATGGAGTCAAGAATCTGATCTGACAGTCAGTTTAGGCTTTTGCAGTTAATTTTTTTTAAAGTCTTTTTTATTTTGTTTTGTTTTGTTTTTGGTACAGGAGATCAATCTCAGGACTTCGTGCTTGCCAGGCAGGCAAGTGTGCTAAACCCTCTGGCCCCTAGAAGCTCTTAAATAGTTTTTGAAAATTTTGTCAAAAAGTAGCAGGTGAGTCAAGTTCAACTTGCAGGCCACCTGCTGGCAACTAGAATTAACTCCCTGGAGAGGAGGCAAGGTCTCCGCCATTCTCAAGGAAGCCTCCAGGAATCCTGTTTCCTCATCATACCCAACCCTAGAAACCTAAGAAGTGAGCTGATTTAGGAACTCCCCCAAGAGTCTGCATCTTCTACGGGGAGTAAGAAAAGTGGCCCCAGTCCCATGTGAACAATGCATTCGATTTCCTTCACAACAGATCTCAGCTCTTGTAATTACACCAGTTTAACTGATGTTATTCTAAAAAAAATTAGTGTTCTTAAAGTTTCTGTGTCTACCTTCTCAGAGTTCTCATGCAATATTCTCTTACCTCTGGAGAATTTATATATTACTTTATGAGAAAAAATCTGGTTCTGCCTTTTTCTGTGTTATCAGTACATACTTCAAATACTGCTGAAATGTCTTTTCTTCCAAAACACCTTCTTAAAGTTAGGTCAGGTTTTCCTGTTATGGCTGTGACATACCCTTACTATGGGAAGCCCATTTAATGGTCTCTTTTCCCCTCCTGACAGTAGTTCTAAGCTAGAAGCTTTGTATGTCTTATCACTATAACCCTGGGAAAATGACTGAAGCACAAATATGAAAAGAGAAAGAGGTTTTTTAAAATAAATTTCTTTTTTAGCAGTTCACCAATACAAAAGTCAAAACAGTATTTCTCATGAAAACATTTTGTGCTGGTAAATTTCTAAAAGCATGAGAATTTAATTAGTGAATGGTCTTAAGTTATTCCAAGATCATGCAGTCAAATAACCCTAACATAGTCATAGAGCCCTAATCTAACACACCTGAGTGCTATATTTTTACAAACCTCCCTTTGACCCCTTCCTAATCACAGCTGGTGACTGTCTATTCTACATTTCAACTATTCATTTCCAGCAGAAACTTCAAAATCACCTCCTTCAGTCTTCCATTCTCACCTCTATTTTTCTGTATCCTTCCAGTCTCCTCAGTAACATACATCCAATTGTACTATACATTGTCATCTGTTACTTCTTTAACTCAGGTATTATTTCCCCCACTGCACACTACACGTGCCTCCCCTGAAACAATGTGCTTGTGAGATTAGTATGTGCAAAGGGAGCTCCTCAAGCGGAAGCTTGTTGCTCCCTGGAATATCCCAGCAGGCTCCATCACGGGAAGGATGTTCAGTAAATGTTCATAGCGTTATTCTGTTCTTGAAAAATCAAGCCTAGCTTTAGCTTTTTGTGATAAAACTTCTGTATTGCTTTGACTTATTTGAATTCTGTATTTACTTTCATCTTAAAAATACAAATTCCTCAAGGAAAAGACGTACATTATATATCTATATTAAACCATACTTCCTAAGGGTCAAGACTAGGACTCCTTAGTATCATGATTTTAATTAGGTTTGTGAACTGGTTCTTAAGAATGTAAACATCAAATATAAAATATTCATTTCTTATGAAGAACAATACTTTCATGAAAAATCTTGCATATGAATAGCACAAAAAGTCATCGCCCCCCAAAAAATTCAGAATTCTTACCTCTTGGTTTGTTTTCTGACCTGGTTTCATATAGAAAATAAAAACTGTGTCAAAAGGACGGCATGGCAAGAGATCCAGATATCCAATGTCATCAAAAAACCCAGGTATCGTGGGATCAAGTGCAATAAGGTGAGGAGGTAGACGACTATTTGCAGGTTCCTACCACCAAGGAAGAAAGGAAAACTGTTATTTCTTTCATTACTTATAAAGCAATATTTCTTCACAATAAAAATTACATTAAAAAATTGTAAGTTAATAATAAATGACACAGTTCTCAACTTAACAAAAGGAAATGTTTATGTTACAAGCTGACTTACTTTTGGTTAAATACTACTAGAAGAATCTTATACCAGTTAATCTTCACATGACCAAAGAAAGGGATGTTTTTCTCATCCCATGGTACAGGTAAGGAAAAGCCAGGTAACTCACCCCACCGACACAGCATTGCCAAGCAGTGATGCATGGCAGGACACAGCCCTAGATAGTCTGATCTTACTGTTCAATATAGAAAGGGTTTGGCTTACAGATACTACAGAATGACCATCTCTTTTTTAAAGTTGCATAAAAGAGCTGCGTCAACTAAGGCCCGTACTTTCAGGAATAAAGTTTACTAGGGAAAGACTTTAACATTCCTTTTCTAATTCTCTGTAGATTCCATTCAGATGTATAATATAGGTCCTGTATCACCCAAGAAAATTCAGGGCTGGGTATTATCAACAGTCCCCCCAGTCAGAATGTTACATAAATTTACAGGGTAAATTGTCCTTGTACTCATAATGTACAATAACACAGAACTTTACTTACTTACAAGAAGGACAAGCCAATAATGAGATTTTTTAAAAATTTACTTCTATTGTCATAAAAATAATATAAGTATCATCAGCTGCATGTTAATTTATGAATATATTTGCTCATAAAGTTCAAGAAAATTACCTTCAATGCCTCTAAAGACAAAAATCCAAAGTGTGAGAGGAAAAGACGGGCAGTTTGGAATTCCTGGGCAGGGGGTGGGGGCTTGCAATCTGTAATGGGGTCAGGAAAACTTCTCTTCTGCAATTCCCCTTCACTCTGCTGTTCAAGGTGGATTTCATAAGCAATCTGCTGGGCCATGCTGCTCCTCAGTTTCTCATGTCTCTCTTCTAACTGAAATAAACCAACACTTCATTCTTGTGAACTCACTCCTCCACCCTCAACAACTGCTTCTTCCCCTCCTGACTATAAATGATACCATTCTGTCTTTGCTCCCCTTCACATAGGTAAGAAAAGGGTAAGGTGTTCCATCCTACTTTCAGATCCCCATCTACTTTCCCTCTACAGCCTCCCCTCATGTTGGAAAAGCCTACCTTAATCACAGGGATTCCCTAATTGTACTCCTGGAGACTCTCCCACACCCTTTCTTTCCCTTCTGATCAAACCTGCTTTAAAATTCCATTCTCTGGCAAATGACAACCTTCTGAATAACTAAGCCCTTATTTTTTAGCGGGGAGGGGCAGGTACACAGAATGGAGGAAGTACTGAGAATTGAACCCAGGCCTTCACACACATTCCCATCCCTTTATTTATTTTTACTTTTGAGATAAGGTCTCACTAAAGAAAGGCTGCACTTTAACTCCAAGGCTGGACTTATCTAGTAATCCTCCTGCCTTTCCTTCCCAGTTTATAAACTTGCACCACAGTGACCAGTCCTAAAAACATCTTAAATCTTACCTGGGACCTCTTTTAAGAGCTGTAATTTGAAATTTCCTCTCCACTCCTAAATTCCTTGCCTGTTACTCCCTGAGCATGTGCTTTACCATCACTGAAAGGCACTCAAGCCCTCCTCCTACTTTTCCATGCCCTCAGTATTCTTCTGCTTCCCAATTAAGCTAACCCCCCCCCCAAAACCTAACATCTTAATGCACTCTCCTTAGGCACATAAAATGACTGTGTTGAACTTTATCCTCCCAAATTCCTGACCCTGCCAAACTTTACACCACTCCAATTCTTTGGTTATGCTCTCAGATGGCAAAGACGAGAAGTGAGCAGAGTGAGCCAAGTAACTTTACCACACATGATGTTGCTCATCCTTGTCTGAACCACCTGGAAATTTAAGAACTATTGTTGATTCTCCTATTCACTGTAAGAACTATGGCTAAAATTTACATTAGGTTTTTCAATTTCTTTTCTTTCCATTCTAAATGTCTCTGATCCTTTACCTACTCTCTTATCCTTTCCTGACTTATCAGAAATATCCCCTTTCTAGATAAAATCTCGTAGACTCTTGACTCTGCTGCCTCTACTATTGATAATTTCCTTAGTGTTAGCTGATCTCTCTCCACTAGGGTCTTTTGTTCAACCTATAAGCGTTTAATATCTATCGCATCTTTGAATGCAAAAACAAGAAAAGAAAATCTAACCTTGCCTTTCTTCAGTGAGACTATTTCCTAATGCTATTCTCTGTCTTCCCCTTTACAGCTAGTAGGGTACCTATTCACACTTCTCACTCATACACATCACTTCCCAAACCCTGATTCTCAGCTTCCCACCTTACACTCCTTTGTACCTGCTCTGAAAGGTCAGGTACCATTCATCTTCAGATCTAGAAGCCCTCAGTTACTCCTCCTTATTCAGATCTCTCCAGCATTTGAGAGTAAAGTAGAGTTCTCCAGTCTTGCCTTGTTCTCTCATGATCTGACTTCTCATGATCGTACTCCTGTAATCCCAGCACTACCTTGATTAAATTTCTCAAATTTTTCTCTTCTCAAATTTCTCTCTTAAGAGATGTTATTTATTCTAAATATCTAAATTAATCTAAACCCAAATAAATTTTCCCATCTACCCAAACCTGTCTCTTTCCTGATATCTGTATGTCTATGAATATTCCCAACATTTCTTTGTTACTCAAGATCAAAATCTAACGTTTCTTAACTTTTTTTTCCCTCATCAACCCAAGACTACATGGAACTACCTCCACAATACACTGTAGATATTAAACTTCATTTTCAGTGATGCAGAAATTCCTTTCTTCTGCTCAGACTGTCACATGCTCTCTGAATTTGTCTCCCTGCTAAATATGCTTCCCTATTAATGTCTGATCATGTCATCACACTACTGAAATCTACCGTGGAACAACCCAGGCAGCCAGTGACCTGGACTCCAGCAGAGAGGCCCAATTCCACAGTCAGTCACAACATGCATTCGATTTGCTGCAAGTTCTTTCCATACATTGAAAGCAATGCCTTGAGAGCAACAGCTAAAAACCATTTTCTTACTTCTTCAGTGACAATTTCATGCAAATCCGGAATGCTCAGATCTGCTTTCACAAATGGAATCTTGTCTACCTCTTCAGGAAATGGCCTATGTTTCACAGTATATTTGAATCCAACATCATTTTTAGGAATGGGACGAGGTTCAGGTACAAAAAGCTGTTAAAATAATACAAGTAACATTACATTTATTACGTAAGGTTCAATGCCCAGATATAATGACACATATTTCCCTAGTCTGCTTTGATGCCTGTGTTTCCCTAACATTACATGTCATAAAAACTCAGTAGGAATCTGCAAATGCTGCAGTGCATGGTTAGGGCAGGCAGTCTGTATATTTGTTTGCTCAATTTATTTTCTTAAAAATATTCATCAACTTATACACTTCATGCTTGATGAATGAGTTGAGGAACACTGCTGCCCAGCCTAAATGTCCCACATTCAGTGCTAATCTCATCGATGAGGCACTTCAAAGATTTAAGATCTATTTCTCTATCAGGTCTCAAATCATTCCATATAATATAGTACAAGGTCAGAAGTAGTTTTTAAAAGGTGAATTCAATTTTGGAACCTTTGGTGGGCTTAACCAACAATGGTGGGGATACCAAAACTAGGTCCTCATGGTTCTAAAGTCCTGCAACTAAATCACCCATAAGTTTTAGTTCCTTTCCTTTCCATGTGAGGAGTCAACATTAACTTAAGAGTTGTACAGAGCTGTTAAAATACAATAGGAAGCTGGCTGTAGTGCTGCACTCCTGTAATGCCAACACTTAGGAGGCTGAGGAAAAAGGACTGCTGCAAATTCAAGATCAGCCTGGGCTACAAAGTAAGCCTGAGGCCAGCCTAAACTGTATAGGGAGACCCTCTCTCAAAAAAGCAAAAAAAAAAAAAAAAACACCCCAAAACAACAAAATATGATAGGTATAATGCCACCAAAATAAAATCAAGGTGTATTCAAGGGATAAAAGACACAGCTCACATGACACACATACCCAACTTTTAGAGTGGGATATGATGGCATATACCTATAATCCCAGCACGCTGTGAAGCTAAGACAAGAAACATCACATTTGAGGCCAGATGTGACAAATTAACAACTTAATAAGACTATGATTCAAAAACAAAGACAGAAGAATCATAGCCAGCCTGAGATACAGTGAGTTCAAGGCAGCCTGAACTACCTAGCTAGACCCTGCCTCAAACAACAAACAATCAGACAATCCATAAATAAAATCAGGACTCATGATGTAGCTCAGTGAAAAGATCCTAGGTTCAACCTGCAGGACCACCAAAACAAAACAAAAGGCTCATATACCACTTTTGTAGGAGTCTCTTAAATGCTACTGAAACTTCATTAAGTCATATTTTAAAACAATTTTATTAACAACTAAAAGCTTACGATGTAGTAAATGAAAAAAGCAGTACGCAAATGACTCAAACCTGTTTAAATATTACATATGAAAATAAAAATATATAGGAAGGAAATTATCAACTGTGGCTCTTTCCCGTGAAGAGTCAGTACAGGTGATTTAATGCTTCTCTATCGTCTGAATTTTCCAACTTTCTCACAGATGCAATACCACATAATAACAAATGTCAAAAAAGACTTGTATTAATACACTATATTAAAAATTTTATGGTGTACTGCCAATTAGACAAGAATAAATCATATAAAAAATTGAAGTTAAGACCTATTGCTACTGCAAAACATATCAAAAGGCTTAGCCAAAATATTTCTGTATATGGCATGTTTCTAATTTTTATTACACTTAAAATTGCAATGAAAACCTGAGCAATTGCTCAGAATAGAAATAGTCCTTATTCCTAAGAGAATGTCAGAATCCTATGGAAAACTTTTGGAAAATACATTTGCCTTCAAGATGCTTTTAAAGAATAATTCAGTAGACTTGGAATTTTAGGTCCCAAAGTTGATTCTGATGTGGATTGAGGACCCTGCCAGAAATGAGAATATTTGTTTTATCTGGGATTTGTCATAGAATGTTACATAATTTTTTTGTTTTTTTTTTTGAGACAGGTTCTTACTGTCTGTAATTCATATTGCTCCTGAACTCACTGTGTCGCCCAGGCTGGCTATGAACTCTTGATGAGCCTCTTTCCTCAGCCTGTTGAGTGCTGGGATTATAGGCATGTGACAACACTCTGAATGTTACATAATCTTTACCTTACCCACCTCCACAAACACATGCACACACACTCATCACTTCCCTGTAACTTCTGATGGATACCTTCTGATTTGCTTTTGCTCCTCTGGGCAAAAGGCAAAGCTGTTGTGCCCAAGCAAGTCTTCCAGACATTCCTCGGACCAGAACAGTGACAGAGGGGAAAAAATCATCTAAAATAAAATGTGTAAAAGTTATTTCAGGCAACCACCATTGATAATTCACATCTTTCCTTCTCTGACAGTACTGATAAATACACCAAGTTAGCTGTAGAGCAGACAGGAAGGGCTGTAACTTACTTTGTTCATTTCCAAGAGGTTGCTCCAGCATGGCCAGGATGACACTGTTATCCAACACAAAGTATCGGAAACTATGCTTGTTTAGAGTTGGCAGCCTGGAGTATTTGATAAGAGTGGTCTCATTCACCAGACTACAAGGAGAGGCAGGACCACTGGGTGAAGGAAACGCACCAAGCAACTGCATAATACTATGGAGAATGGAATGGAGAACAGTTAATTTCCAAAGCAAAATCTTATGTTTACCTCAAACACTTAGGTGTCTTTCTATGCCTCTAAATTGTAATTGGCTATAGCCATGTTTCCTCTTCACAAGTCAGATTTTATTCCTCATGGATACTTGTGACACGATATCCTGTCTGCCCTCCAAGACGGGAAAGCCCATTCCCCCTGATGTATCTGTAGGGAGACCATAGCTTTCAGTTCAGTCTTCTGCAGGACTTTCCTAAGTCAAAGAGAAATTTCTCAGTTAGGAACATAGTTTATTTCTGGGATGGACGACATCCAATGAATGGCTGATAGGAGGTTAGTGTCTCAGCACCTCACCTCAGCATGAGAGAATGCTGAAGGCTCAAGCCTGCCCTAGAGCACTTTGTTGCAAATGCATTACAGTTTAGCACCTCCCTTTGTCACATTTTGCTTTCTCCATCCCTTCATAGAGACTGATATCTGCAAGTAAATTTCTCTTAGCCTGCTACCCAGGGCACATGACTAACCACACTTCCAAATTATGATCCTCCTAAAGATATACTTAAAACTCTGCTTGTGGTGCACACCTGTAATCTCACAATTGGGAAGCTCAGGCAAGGGGATCATGCATCAAAGCTAAAAAAAAAGACAGCATGGAGAGGACCAGACAAATCGATAGCGATTCTTATTAACCAAGACAGTACAGCTGGAGGATTTAAAGTCGTGCTGAGACCGGAGGCTGCAAATCCCGCGCCCTTAAATCAACGAACAGACTCGTGGACCCAGCACGAAAAGCTGAGTTGCTTTTGGGGACTGCGGGAAACTGAGACCCAGATCGAGACTCCAGGTGGCAGCCAGTTCTGCACCGCTGCACCAGAGCGGATGTACAGAGCTCTGGCGTTTCGAATCTAAACGGTGCACAGAAATCTGACCGGTCAGCGCTGAGCCGCGGGGGGGGGGGGGGGGGGGGGGAGTGTGGACGGCTTGGTGTGCGGCGGTCCCGGAGCGGGGACTTGCACCGGACTCTGGTGAGTACAGAAAACCCCGCGGCTGCTGGGTTTGGCCAGAGAACAGCTGGCCCGCCACCACGGGGAAATCAATAACACAGAGTCTGGTGCAGACATATTAGCCTGGCGGCAGAAACCGCAGCTTGGTGACATCACCAGGTCCCCCTGTAGGGAGGGCTGGTGGAAGACATCTTGAGTCCTGGCAGAGTCTGATTGCTTGCTGGCTTCAGCTCCACACGGAGAACTTAGTGGGAGCCATCTTGGTTTTGGGCAGATCTGCTTTTCTAGAGCTCCTATCACAGAGAGGTTTGGAAGAGAACGGCTGGGACCTGGGCAGAATCCTGTGCCATTACTCAGCTGCTTCTGATTCAGGGAGAACTGGCAGGAGCTACTGGGGCTAAACCAGGCCTCTGCTTGGGGCCCAATGGGCGGATGCAGAATGGTCACAACTCAGTGACAACCAGAAAGTACAGCCTAATTTATGAACTAACTAACACAGAGGCTAGAGACTAGACTGTACCGCCCCTGCATCCCAGCCTACCCCAGATAACAGCAAATTGGGGAGGACAGCAAAAACTCAAGCCAGCACGCTTCTGAAAGGCCCTAAGCAATTCGGAGAGGGCCAGAGAACTCCAGGACAGTCTGAAAGAAACCAGAAACATGACAAGAGATAAAAATAAAAAAAAATCTCCAGCTGTTCAACAGGAGAAATTAAACCCAAGAGAACTAAACACTGAAGAGAACAAACACAGTAACCATCCATTGCTCGACACAGCATCAGCCGAAATTAAAAAGTACTTACATGATCTCATAGAGGAATTTAAAGATGTACTCCTGATCCAAGTGAGGCAAGATATAAAGAGATTAATTAAAGAAATGACAAGCCCCGCCCAAGAGAACACAGATGGAAGAACTGAGGAAATCAGAAAAGAAAGAGAAGCATCTGAAGAAGAATTTAAGCATAACTTAGAATACATGAAACAGATCCAAAGAGAATATCAGGAAACTAAAAACTCCATTGAATATTGGCAAAATGCCTTGACAGAAACTAAAGACAACCTTCTGAAACTTGAAGAGAGATTTAGGGCTTATGAACGTGAAAGAAAAAGCCTCTTAAAAATAACAAGGAACCAGAAAGAAGCAATTCTAAAACTGGAAGATGATAAAAAGATACATAACCTAAGAATAAAGAATGTGAGTGAGGAAGCAGGAACATCCAAAAATGAAATACAAAAAATATTCACAGAGATATTAAAGCAAAATTTCCCACGTATAGCAAAAAGAAATGATATCCAGATAAAAGAAGCATACAGAACGCCAGCTACCTACAACCAAAACAGATCTACGCCTAGGCATATAATAATCGAGATCCCAGAAATCCACCAAAAAAACAGAATATTAAAAGCAGCCAGAGAAAAGATGCAGGTTACCTATAACGGGAAATCTATCAAAATAACAGCAGACTTATCAACACAAACTCTTAAGTCAAGAAGGGAGTGGGGAGAAATATTCCAAGTCCTGAAGGAAAAAAATATGCAACCTAAGTTCATATATCCGTCAAAACTCTCTCTAAAAATTAATGAAGAAATAAGATATTTTCAAGACAAGGAGGAACTGTGGGAGTTCGTGGCCACCAATCCAACCCTACAGAGAGCGCTGAAGGACATTACAGAGAAAGAGAGGAAGAGATATCAGGATTACAGCTACAGTGGCAGAGAGGCCTCAGTGAACGGGGCAGACCATGGAATGAGGGAATAAGGTGGACAAATTATAGCAGAAAAGTGGAGTAGCAGACATGAGGCAGAGATGGTAAGCTAGTCTTTGGTAGAGACAGCTCTGAAACTATATTTAAAAAAAAAAAAAAGCAGAGGTCATTGCTAATGGTGTATAATGATTTAAAAGACACAGTAGTCCTAGTGCCATATTTAGATTGAATTAAATTTGTTCTGGTCTGTCCACTCATATCAGATTTGAGGACACAGACCTCTAGAACCAAAAATAGCAGGTTATACCATGGTAACTATCCTTACTTTCCTATTGACTTAGGCTGAAATCCTGTATTACTTACGTTGTCTTACTATGACTGATCTTAATTGTATCTGAATCATAAGACTATTGGTTGGCCTTGACTGATCCTATTTGAAATCGGTATGCGTGTTAGAATCAACCCTAAAAGTAGAGGAAACTACTCTGAGCATGACAAGATGTAAAGGATATCCATACTGGTATGAATCAGTAACAGCTCTCAAATACTACAATGCAGTCAAAGATAAGTTTTTATAAAAATAGGTGATAGTATATTTAACTATAATAAGCCAGTGTTGTCGACAAATCTATTGAAAATAACAAGAGAAAACATAGTAGCTATGGAAGATCATTTATACTATAGTTTTATAAGTCTTATCCATTGCATGTTTATCTAGGAAATTGTTTCGCTGTCTTGTTATGACTTGGTTTTCCCTATAATACAGAGAGGATAGGAACAAATACTCTGAGGAAGAGACCTGAAAAACCCGAGGCTTATTTTGTAGCATTATAATATAAATTCTAGCAATCTATTGCTTGCTGATTAAAATGACTCTGGACTGGTTTCTTCAGCTCAACTTCAGCATATGCAGAGATGGGGACGGCTATCACAAAGAGAATGAGAGATGCGATGGTAGTTGGTAATGTCTTCCCTAATTTGGAACTTGAGGACCTAAAAAGACTCCATCATCCTGTAATGATTTGATTAGTTCTATAATATGCAATAAGTATAGAAAGTGGGTGAAGTTAGGGACAACTATTTGTAAGAAGCTAGAGACAGTTAGATAAGGTAGATCTCCAGTGGACTTGCTTTGAAATCTGTATTTCTTTAAATTGTTTTTTTTTAATGTTCTGTTCTGTTTTGATATGGTTAACCTTATCCTCTTAGAGATGTAAAACAAATAGGTGGGACTGATAATCATATTACGGAGCTTTTGTTCGGCCATAGAGCAGAATGGTTTGTAGGGTCACTTTTTTGAATGTCATTCTAAATACTTTAATTCTATAACCTGAACAGCCATTTCGAAGATGACAATTTGTAACTTATCAACTGGTAATTTCTTACCTTTTGTTTGTCTGTAATTTAGTATTATTTCTACCCTTTTTTTTTTAATCTCCATGTATTTTTTTTTTCGTTTCCTTTTCTTTAAATAAAAAAAAAAAAAAAAAAAAAGAGTTACCAGGACCCAAACAACTTGAAGTTGAGTTCAAATCTATAATTATTTGTGCAAAACAGAAGGAATACCACATGAGTAATGAGGAAACATGGCTTTTGTTTTCTAAAATGAGACAGAGATGAATGTTCTAAAGCACACAGGCCAAAAGAACTTGTATCTCAGCTAAGATTCTAAGATAACTGGAGCCTAGATTGACAAATTTAATTTGAGCTATGACTCTGAAAAAGATAGCTACATTTCTGTTTATGTGAGAAAGATGGCTGGTGTTTGTTACCCCATGCCAAGTCTTTAAACAAAAACAAAAGTTTGCCAAACTTTTCTCTTTGCAAACCAAACTGTTTGCAAACAAAAGCATTTGGTGAACTAAGATACCACTGTATTATCAAAGAAACTGCTAAAAAAAAAAGGAGCAAGTCAACAACATGAAATCAACTAGCCTAACCATATATTTTCTTCTGGACAGTGACTAGCCTAGGAAAGCAGATCAGGACAAGTTTTGACAGCTTGTCATAATAAACCTGTAGATAAGATTTTATAATCCCTGTGAATATGAAGAGAATTCTCTGCTGCTATCCTCTGTGAATTTATCTATGTTCCACAAAGTTTTATCAATTGATTACAATGCATAGAACAGATGCATGAAATCTGTAGTTGATCAAAGGCTGAGCTGCAAAGATAATGTATCAGTAGAGCTAAAAACTAAAAGAGTGAAAGTATGGGCATGGTGGCGCATGCCTACAAGCACAGGGGAAGATGAGGCAGGAAGATCATCAAGAATTTGAAGTCTTGTCT